ATTCTTCTGCTAGTTGGGGTTTAGTCCAAATCTGCATCCTTTCCTTCAAGGCTCAGGGGTCCAAGATTATCTTCTGTGTCTGTATTAATTGGTTTCCCTTTTCTTTGTTGAAGAGGGTCTGTGCAATCCTTCTGCCTAGTCCGCCATCTTGCCCCGCCTCGGCCAATATCCCAACCTCTTGGTTCTTACAGTCCAGAATTCTGGAACTGCAGAAGTATCTAGAGTCTGGTTGGGGAAGATGATAGTCCTTTTTTTCCTTATCTGTATGTACAATGGGGACAGTAATCCTTTTCCCTTCATAGGATAGTATGGAAGAGTAAATGAAATAATACATGAGAAAGTGCTTAGAACAGTGCCCAGCACATAGTGCGTGCTCAATTTATATTAATACCTAGAAATTGTTATTAACAAAGATTAGCAATGTATCTTCATTTCTGTAAGCTTTAGTATATTTTCTCTAGCGTTAGCCCTTTGAAATTTGAGACAGCTTACAGAAAAAGTGTATGATGGTAGCACATAATGTATTAGAATGAAGAAAAAATATATATGAATATATATATGCAAATAGAGGGGTTAAATAGATACAGAGAGAGCAAAAGAGAGAAATAGAACTCAGAGAATTTGACAATAAAATTCTGCATAGTTAATATAGGCAGTCCCTGGGTTATGAACACCTGACTTACAGACAACTCCTACTTGCCCTTTAATGCAGGACTTCAAACCAGTTCTGTCATGCTGAGGAAGCAAAACAGGAACAGACTGAAATTTTTACAATTTGGGTGATTCATCATAGTAAGCTTTTAAATCATTGAAAAGGTTTGAGCCTTTTCTTGCACTAACATAAGGCTATAAGAACTGTATGCATCTGGTCCAACTGACCTACAGATTTTTAAAGATACAGTTAGGAACAGACCTCTTTCAGAAGCTAGGACTGCCTGTATAGTCAGGCTTCCTGACAACCAAAGTTAAAAGAAAATACACTTAGATAGTTCTCTGCATCTCAAGCCTTATTGCACCCCATCTCCATCCTATCAAAAATAAAACTTAAAAAAAAAAAACCTTCTTCTGATATATCAAAGCTTTTCTTGGACTTGGTGCAAAAATATATGAGGCAGGATTTCACATAAGCACAGTAAGAGGTATGGTAGCCAGCACTGCCCCCAGTAATAGCAAAAATTTTATATAGCTCTTTGTAAGTGTGGGATATTCCTTGAAGAATCTCTCCCATCTTTGGTGAATTTCTTTCTTTCTTGAAGCTGAGGATATTGTTAGCCTTCACTATGTTAGAGTCAGGACTTTTCCATGGGTTCTGCCTGCTGTGTAAATCAGGTAAGTGTCTGCTGTCTGTGTCTATCCCCTTGAAGATTTTAGAGACATCATGAAATCTTTTAGAATGACAATGCCTAATCTTCTTACCCTGTCTTCAGTCTGACAGACCAGAAACTAAACATCATTGTAGCTGTTATGGCATTCAGGGCCCTATGACATAGTAAGTCGTACCATGCTGATGGCAACATAATAGGAGTCTTTGGTGTGGTTGGGCAGAAAGTATCTCTGGTGGGACTCGGGGGAAAAGAGAGAGCACCTGGACCTTGCAAGGATGCTAATGTTCTCACTGCCTCTCTATTCACTCTCTGTCTGCTTCCTCTTCAGGAGGGCCGCAAGAATGAGGTGCTGCTGTCCAAGGTGAAAGCCAAGGCTTCCTGAAAATTCCTGCAGTCATCGTATGTCATTGATTTATTTTTTTTTTAATCGTCCATGTATCAACTACAGGATCATGAAATCGTTCTGAAAGCTACTGCAGAGATACAGGTGTAATGATTTCAGCACCCTGGATATTTCCTTTCTTCTCTTTGCTTCCATTTCATCTCTGTTGGTTGTTGTTGCTAGAATCAGACAATGTAAACACTAGTGGTTAGATAACAAACTCATTATCATATGGAAAACTGTGGGCAGAATCTGTTCTCTTTGTTGATTCAACTTTCATTTCTTTAGTAACATTGCATATATGAAGGTACCTGTATTTGTATGAACTCTGAATAAAGAGGAATTCTTGTGTTCAGATATATTAATTGAGAAGCAAGCACTAAAGGAGATACAGAGGAGTGTAAAGCACAGACCCCACACCTCAAGCACCCAGGAAGTGGCCCGAACACCAGATACAGCCTACATGGTCCCAGAGTTTGGCCATGTGAGATTTTTTTTTTTTTTTTTTGTAAACAAAAAGCTTTTAGCTGATGACTAGCCTATGTAATTGTTGGTCACTGGGCCTCTTCACTGCCCATGGTGCCTTTTGCACCTAGCTTCTCAAGGTGTTGGCCAGCAGGCTTTGGTGACATAGCAACTAGTATGACAGCACAGTGCCACTGGTTTAGTTCTTGTATGCTACTCAAGGTTATTTCACCAAAAACTGAAAACAGACCTCATGCTGGGGGCCCTTAAATAAGAATTAACCATCCCATGTCCTGATTCTCATTTGAGATTGCCAATTTGTGGATCATGTTGTGTATTCCCCTCATTAAAAACTATCCCATGTACCCTACACTCTAAAACAGGTCATGCTCTAATCAAGGAGATAAGGGGCGTGCACACCATTCATTGCAATCTATAACAGTGGGTGATGAGTTTCAGAAAATAAAAGAAAGAGAAAAGAAAAGGAAGAGCAGTGAGGTTTGTAGACATCCAGGAAGACATCGTGGTAGAGTTAGGATTCACCTAGATCTGAAGGGGGGATAGGATTTTAATAAGCAAAGATAGGCAGGAAGGCCATTTTGGATAGAGAAGAGTTAAGAAGAAGAGTTCCAGAGGGTTCAGGAGAATATAAGGAATGCCTGTTGAGAGAGGAATAGATGATCAATCTCTGCAGGCAGCATTAGAGACCAGGATGGGGCCAGACCTTGGAGGACCTTAAAGGAAAGGCTATGAGATTGGACTTCATCCTCTGGAAAGCAGGGCAAACCAAGCACAGAGCTCCCCTGCTAAGCCCTCAGGAGTCTGCAGCTCAGTCTTGTGTTCAATAGACCCAAAGGGACTTGGGTGCCCACTTTGGCACAAACTTTGCACACATTCCAGTCAGCTGGCATGGACCACAAAAAAACAAAAACTTACATGTCAGGCAAATGGGACATTCAGTGCAGCCACAGGAGCATTTGGTTAACTATTAGTTCCTTAATGTATATGATTACTCAGGGCTTCATACAGACTTTTAAAAATATCCCATACTTGGTTTTTATGCCAGGACCTTGGAGGCTGTCTGATGAAGAGTGGCTGCTTCCAAAGCCAGGTGGAAATGCAGCAGTTGAAATGGCACACCCCCTTGCCAAGCACATTTTTTCCTGCACTATGTACATCTTTACTTTGGCTGATCCTTGGGTTGTGGTCATTTGGAGATTTTGAAAGACCTCAGTGATGGTGAAGCAGGTTGATTAGAAGAGACAGATCGTGATTTGAGAACAAGGAAAGGAGGAGAGGGTGGTTTGACTCTTGGTAAATCTTTTCAGGTTCATGGAAACATTATGTTACCTTGTTGAGAAAGTCATCCACCTCCCCCTAGCTAACTGAACTTTTTGAGCAACTAGGCTCTGGTAGCATAGTGGCTAAGACGCTTGCTAACCAGACAGCTGGCGGTTCAAACCCACCAGCCACTCCTCGGAAGGAAGGTTGGACAATCCTACTTCCGTAGTGATACTGCCTCGGAAACCCAAGGAGGGGTCGCTATGAGTCGGGGCCGACTCGACGGCACATAACAACAACAACAACAGGCAAGTATTTGAACATTTGTCCAAAGGTGGTTAGGGAGTCAGGAGTTGCTGACTTTCTGGAGTTAGTATAGTCTACCTCTTATGTTGAAGGGGAAATTATGGCAGGAGTAACCCAAAGCAGCCAATCATTAAAAAGAAAGAAAGAAATGGGAACACTGATTGGAGCTTACATTTCTCAAGAGTTTGCTTTGGTTTGGTTTTAGTGTCAGTAGATTTCCTTTCACTTTATGTAATCCACAGGGCCTGATACAGATAGTATCTTAGTTTCCATCCCTTTTGTATTGGGCTTGGTAGCAAACCCATCTTAGGAATTCTGCATTTGCCACAGAGAGCCCACAGAGTGAAGGCTCCATGTGAGGGAGATGCTGTAGTGCTAGGCCCCTAATTTCAGAAGCCAACAGGGAGCTCCTCCAAGCACCATGTCTTTCTCTGTGCTCTGGAGAAAGATGAGGCAATCTGACTCCTTAAAGATTTACAGTCTTGGAAACCCTTTAGGGCAGTTCTACTCTGTCCTATAGGGTTGCTATGAATTGAAATAAACTCAGTGGCAGTGGGTTTGGTTTGGGTTTTGTTTGTTTGTTTGGAAAGTAGTATGGCTGTTTGTTCTGCTAACGCCACAGGCTTCTCCAGAGTTAAAATGAAGAGAAAACATCTTTCAGTGTTTTTTAAAAATGGTGTACTTCTTGGGGGTAATGTCCCCAACAGGAGGAACCCAGCTTCCTTAGGAAACATGCAGTTCTCCTGCTCTATCAGAGCAGTGATGAGCTCGCTGACCGGACAGGCTCCCCATGGCTGGCTGCTCAGTGCCCTGCATTCTCAGCCAGTCTATGGGCCAGAGCTCCCTTCCATCCCACATGCTTCTCTGGAGTACAAAGAGTTATGTGGGTTTAAACCAAAATCAGAGCTGCTGTGAGTAGGACAAGACTAGATCACGAGGTGACAGAGAAAATACTTAAGGCATGTTTCTTTCTTGTTGTCTTTGGCCTGCACTCAGTCTCCCATGGGTGTCAAGTCAGCTAATACTAGACAGAGGTGCTGCATGGTAGAGAACAGTTGGCCCGATCACACAGGATGGATCTCTTCTCTGTAATAGAGAAGGCACACTCCAAGTTTGTCAGGCCTAAGCTCTTGTTGGACTCTTGGTTTAACTTGGTCCTGGTTACTAGCTCCTATTTTGTGGATAGCTGAGTCCTGCTACAAGTGTCCACCAAGTCTAGTAGCAGATCTGGAAGGCAGAAGAGCTGGCACATGTAGGTCTGTCCTAAGCTAGGATGGGCAACACTTGCTGACAAACGCCAAAGTTCTTGGGACCTCCTGGAGCCTTGAGTAGGGCATGGAGAAGGCCTTCAGCAGCCTTCTTTCTATCTCATCAAATGCCATTCCTGTGACCTGAGGTTTGTATCCGGGACAGGCCCCAGTCACATCTATAGTGACCAAAGCAGTTCTGCCTGAAAGGACACTTTGGACAGTAACCAGAGGCCTACAAACTGATGCCCCTTATTTCTGCTGCCTGGCGATGGCCTTGTGTTGCCCGCTGTGCAGGTTGACTGGTGATAATAGGAACTGACCATTCTAGCAAATAACATGTATCAGTTACCTCTGAGCCTGAGTCTCTGTTCTGAAATGTGAATAGTTGGATTGAAACCTGCTTTGACAAAGAATATTCTGGGAAATGTTTTATGATTTACTCGTGGCCAGTTTGGCCTCAAGGTAAGAAGAGTCTTCACACAATGCTGTGCACTGACTAACGCCAGTAGGATGAGGTGCTCTCTGCCTATCCTTGTCACTGGGAGTCTGCCAGCTCAGTGCCTTATTTCATGGGGCTGTAGAATCTCTCAAGTCCTGTCTTCCTGTCCACCAGCCCAGAGTATTCCTTCTTATAGCACATGGCAATAGACAGAAAATGCTGCATAAAAATAATGTCATATTGGTCTTCCTTCTTCTCATGACATGTATGTTGTATTAAATGTTGACTGATTTAATAACTGGCCTACAGCATATTTGACAACTTGGGGAATACTTATGTTCACTCCTCAAACATGCAAAGCTCCATCCTACCCCATAGCCATTACATTTCCCATTCCCTTTGCCTAGAATGCTCTTCCCTCTAAGATCTTGGGCAGTGGCTTTTCCCTGTTACCTAATGTATTTACCCTCACTGAAACAGTTGATGTCAAGTCAACACCAGTGTATAGTGAACCCCCTATGTGTCAGAGTAGAACTGTGCCTCATTGGATCTTCACCGACTTGATTTTTTGGAAATAGATTGCCAGGCCTGTCTTCCAAGGCCATCTCTGAGTGAACTCAAACTACTTCCAGCCTTTTGGTTAGCAGCCAAGCATGTTCACTGGTTTGTACAACACAGGGACTTGTATGTACAAACCCACTTAAAGTCAGCCTCCAGCCCTGATGACATTCAGCCCTTTCCCCTGCTTTCTGTCTTGATAGTACATGACTCTGTTTGAATTCTTCTTAGTCCCTGTTAGGTCTGTGGCCTGCCCTCCCTCTGAAATGCTAGAGCAGTGAAAGCAGGGGCCTTGCCTGCCTTATTCCCCACAGTCTCCCTAGAACCTGGCTCAAGGTAGATAATCAGGAAATTGTGGTAGATAAAATAGATTTTCTCTAAATTGTAATTTTGTATTCCTGTATTAATAAAATTCAGAACCATCCTTCCTGCTAATGTATGCTTAGTTTGAAAACAGGTAGACAGTTCTTTTCTGAAGCTTTAGAGGATCTCAAAGTGTGTTTGTTATAATCTAATTTTAGGATTAAGATGAAAAAGGTGACAGGTTTCAAACTTTTCAAAGGATTTACCTTTCACCGATTTTTTTTTCTACCCAAGTAAGACAAAAAAGAAATGAGAGAGCAGGGGACAGCACACTAATGTCAGAGGTATTAGATCGTACTGGCACATGTTGTGAATCTAAAAGTAATTTTACTGGTTGGAATGACTTTGGCTACACTGAAGAAAGAAATGGTACACCCTGCCAGGACATGGGACGGCAGCTCTGATACAGTGTGAGTACAACTCTGAATTGGTACAGTCTCCACGGGACAGTTAGACAGTATCTATCACAAGTACGAATGCACAAACCTGCAATGAGCCAGCAGTGCTATTTCTAAGTTCTTTTGTTTTTTTCTCCTGTGTACAGGACTTTCATTGCATCATTGTTTCTAATAGCAAAAAGTTGAAAGCTACCATCACTGTACAGCAGTGATTAAAATGGCCAATCCATACAATGGACTATTATGCAGATATTTAAAAGAATGGAGGTACTCTGTGTGTACTGGCATAGAATGTTCTCCAGAATGCGTGGTTAAGTTGCAGGGGGAGAGGGTTTAAAAAGGGGGTGAGATAGAGAAAACTCTGTGTATACATATATCTGTACATACATACGTGTATGTATATATGTATCTGCTTGCGTATGTCTGAACTATCTCTGGGAGGATACACAGGAACATCCTTGATTGCCTCTGGGGAGAGGGGTGGGAGGGAGAATTGCTTTTCACTGAGACCTTTTGTACTTTTTGAACTTTGTACCATGTACATGTATTACATACTTAATTCAAAAACATAAATAATTTTTAAATTTTAATTTGGTGTCCTTTTTTAAAAAAAAAAATTGAACCAAAACAAGTGTTGGCAAGGTTATGGAGAAAACAGAGTCCTCATCCACTGCTAGTAGAAATGTAAAATGGTGCAGCCACTGTGGAAAACAGTTTGGCAGTTCATCAAAAAAGTTGAACGAAGAATTACCATATGACCCAAAAAATTCCAATCCTAGGTAAAAACCCAGAAAAAAGGAAGGTAGGAACACAAACAGAAACCTGTACACCAGAATTTTTTGCAGCACTTTTTACAATAGCCAAAAAGTAGAAACAACTGAAACATTCATCAACAAGTGAATGGACATACAAAATGTGAATATATACATAAAATGGGTTAGCACGTGCCCATAGAGAAATGAAGTTCCGGTGCGTGCCACAACATGGATGAAAACAGGCTGAGCAAAAGAAGTCACAAAGGGACAAATACTGTATCATCTCACATACGGAATAAGCAAATACAGAAATCAAAAATTATAAATAGTTATCAGGGATGGAAGGGAGGGGAAAGAGGGAAATTTTTGTTTGGAAAGGTATAGTGATGAATAGTGGCACAACATGAAAAATGTAATCAATGTCACTGAATTGTAAATGTGGAAGTTGTGTTGGCAGATGTTTTGGTATTTATATTTCATCACAGTTATCTCTTGTGTAGTTAAAGCTTTCAGCTGCTAACCACAGGGTCGGCAGTTCAAACCCACCAGTCACTCGGTGGGAGAAAGATGAAAGAGTCTGCTTCCGTAAAGATTTACAGCCTTGGATACCCCATGGGACAGTTCTACTCTTCCCTAAAGGGTGGCTGTGAGTCAGAATCTACTCAATGGCAGGTGGTTTGATTTTGGTTGATAGTTGGTTATGAAAGCATTATATTGGTTGTTTCAGATACTTTGTCAGTCTGCTACCATTGAGTCAAATCTGACTCACAGCAACCCCCATTGGGTTTCTAAGGCAGTAAATCTTCACAGAAGTAGCTCAACCTATTTTCCTTCTGTGGAGTGTGGCTGGTGGGTTTGAATCACTGATCTTCCGGGTAGCAGCCAAATGTGAATCTTGGTGGTACATGAACAAACAAAAAAACCAAACACTGCTGTCAAGTTGGTTCCAACTCATAGTGACCCCTCCTTGGGTTTCCAAGGCAGAATCTCTATGGAAGTAGATTGCCCAGTCTTCCTTCTGAAAAGTGGCTGCTGGGTGTGAACTACCAGCCTTTTGGTTAAAAGTCAAATGCCTTAGGCACTATGCCACCAGCAGTGATAATTTATTTCTTGTTCATAGGTCTGTGAGGTTGCCAGTTTGAACCCACCACCTGATTTTGTAAAGATTTACATCCACGGAAACCCTAGTTTCTACTCTGTCCTATAGGGTCACTGTGAGTTGGAATCAACTCCACAGCACCAGGTTTTTTACTTTAATGTCTTTCAGCCACAAGGGAGAAAAACCCTAGTTGACCCAAGCTTGAGTTCCAGCCTTTAGGAGACAGCTATGATGGATGACTGAGAAAGCCATTTGATTGATAACTATACAGCTGCCTGCTCTACTTTGAGTTGTCAGTCATCTCCATATTACTGTCTCCCCTGTCTTAATTCACAGAGGATTTGAAGTGGCTTATGAGAAATGCACAAATTACAGTAAAATAAAAACCTAAACTTAAATAAATATAAAAATATATATAAATTTATATAAATATAAACACCTAAAATGCTAAGATAGAGAAACCTAAATAAGACAGAATTATAGACTGGCTAGAAAAATTAGAAATAAGCAGGTTACCAGATGCTCCATAAATTCCCAAATTAAGCCATAAATTTGGTTTCTAGTTTCCTCTTGATCAAAATGAAAGTGGAAACAAAAGTCTTCATTACACCTAGAAGAAAACAAGCCTTCACAAAGTGTACATGGATCACGTTAGCTACATCATTTTATGAAATACATTGATAAGTTTCATAAGAAAGCTGTCCTGAGGAAATTCAAAGATTATTTGTAACTCATTTGACAACAAAATAGGATCTACCCCAAACACATTTGGTGGCAAAATTGACTTGCACTGATGAGAAGCTGTTTTTAGTCCTTTTCTCATGATGTAAATATCCATGTTTTACTGACAAAAGGTTTGTGTGTTTGATTACAGGGTGCTGCCCCAGCTGAGTTATTAGATGATTTATATACTATGTACCATATTGCCTCTCTGATAATGTAAATTCCAAAACCTATCTGACCCAAAAGATGGTGGAAAAGTACTGTGGACCTACATTCTGACATGCCCCAAAGCACAGGTTCTCTATAGTGTAAGCTTTAAAAATGTCCATATACCTTAGATATCAAATAAGCAGATAGAGTAGAGCCTTTTGCCTTTTGTGTAAATTAATCAATAGGCAGTTAGCCCACCTCCACTATCAGGTGGACAGTGGCCAAGATAACATACCTATGTCAAATGTAGTATTTTCTGGAAGTCCAAGAAAATAATATATTCTTGAATCACTCTGGAAATCTTTTCTGGAATCATTACGGCAATTTTTTTTGGTATTTGAATCTCACAAGAGGCATTTTCCCCCATCCCAGTATCATAAACACACACACACACATATACAAACATACAATATAAAGATGATTCTGAACCTAGAAATTAATGTTTCAAAAGTACCTTTATTACACAGGTCAGTAATGATAAAGTAGTGGGAAAATTTCTCCCTGCTGTTCTCCTTTGTAGCACAAAAGCAGAGAAAAGCATCATCAGAGGTTCTTGGCATCTTGGTATTGGCTGCACATTGGCATCCCCTACGGTGCTTCAAAAACTCACTGCGGCCTGGATCTCTCCCCCAGAAATCCCAATTTAATTGCTCTAAAAAGAGCAACCTAAACATCCAGCAACATCTTTCACTGATTTAAAAAAAAAAAAAAATCCTTTAGAGAACTCAATGATATTTAGATGACCAAGCCTCTCCTTTGAAAGTCTGATGTAATAGGTCCAACTAAAAATACCAAACTCGCTGCCTTTGAGTCCGTTCTGACTCATAACAAACCTCCCATTGGGTTTCCGAAGCTGTAAATCTTTACGGAAGTAGATCCCTCCATCTTCCTTCTATGGAGTGGCTGGGGGGTTTAAACCACTGACCTGGTTAGCAGCCAGATAGATGCCTTGTCCACTACGCCATCAGAGATCCAAAACCAAAATCAAACCCACTGCTGTCAAGAGGGCCAGGTGGCTAAAATTAATTTTCTTAATTTCAGGTGATCCTTATCTCCTAAATTTGAAATACACTACTTTCTAGGTTGGGGAAGATAAGTAGAGTTCACTGGACAAATAATGGAGCAAGGGCTGAATCTCCTGAATGGGCCACAAAACTGGCCTCTGGGACCCTGTGCTAAGAAACCCTCTCTGAAGAATACAGTATTAGAGAAAGGAAAGACAAATCGGCTGAACGCTTGTATTGACTACCCAATTAGCAGTAACTGTCTAAAGTGGTGTACTGAGAAGGATTCTGAGGTGGAGTTCCTGCTCAGTGGGGAAATGTGCCATGCCCAGTTAGCAGTGTCTGCCACGCACACAGGAACTGGAAGTAGCTGCACACTTGCCACATGTTTGCTTTTCTTCTTGAGAGCCCTTGGCACTGCTGTTCCCATCAGTCCAGGCCCAATGTTGTGGTTGTCAAAACGTCATTAATATTCAGCTATGGTAGGGAGGCTTCTAGATAAAATCAAACCAAACTCACTGCTGTTAAGTCAATTCCAACTTATAGTGACCTTAGACAGAGTAAAACTGCCCTGTAGTGTTTCCTAGGCTGTAAATCTTGATGGAAGCTGACTGCCACATTTTTCTCCCATGGAACAGATGGTGGATTCAAACCACCAAACTTTCTGTTAGCCAAGTTCTTTACACTGTGCACTAGGGCTCCTCCAAGACCACTGATGGGGCAAAATCCAGCTCTCTCTCCACATGTCCACTTGAATATCTAAGCCCCATTTTTATCTCTGCTTGGTGAAGAGGCTCTTGAAAGCATTGTTGTAGTTCTTGTTAAAAGCTGTGTAAATCAGGGGGTTGAAGAAGGAATTGGAGTAGCCAAGCCAGAGGAATACACTTTTCCAGATGGGGGGCAGGCTGCAGGCACAGAGAGGGCTGATAAGCTCTGCCAAGAAGAAGGGGATCCAGCACAGCACAAAGACACCGATGAGAATCCCCACCATCATGGCAGCCCGCTTCTCCTTCTGCTCCTGCCAGGAGCCTCCACTCACCCGGAAGGCAACTGTTGCTCGCTGGTGCTGCACTGTGAACACTTTCTCAGCCTCCTGAGGGGCCTCCTTCACCTTGGGACAAAGGAAACAGGATTAGAGAAATACAGCATAATTACTGTATGATTAAACCAACATGAAGCTACTCGCCTGACACAATACACAATTTTAAAAGCAATTATTCCATAATCCATCAAAAAATATGGAGTTTCTGTATAAGGTAATGGAAATTTTGACAGAGATTGTCAACATAATTGCACAATATGATTAATATAACTAGTGTCACTAAACTGTACATTGGGGAAATCATGAATTGGCAAACGTATACATTTTACAACAATCAAAAAACATTGTAAGAAATTAAGTGAAAAAAGGAACAGATACTGTAGGTTAAAATAAATACTGAAGATTGTTCAGGGAGTAAGAGTGATGGCCCCCACAATTTCAAATAAGGTATAAAAGGAAGGGAAGTCGGTCAAAGCAGGAGCTTTGGTGTTAGGTTCAGGCATGAATCATGCTGTACAGCACCAACCTCCTGGGCCTCTCCAAGCTGCTTCCTCATCTAGGTAACTGAGTGAGGAAAGTCCCCTCCTCAGCCATGAGGCTGTCATGGTGATGAATTGAGAATGTATTCTCAGTCCCAGTACAACACCTGCACTTAGACTCACTCACTCAGTCTTGACCCTCACAAAGTTTGCAGCTAGAAAGGCAGACTGTAAACATTAATATTACAATAAAATGTATAATTTCTGGGGTAAATGAAGTCCATTTAAATTATGTGATAATTTGATATTCCTTAGCTTTATCAGTAATAACAAACACTGAGCTATGGGTGGATACAAAGGCAGACAGGTGTGGATAGGCAAACAGGAATATTTCCATGACCGTACATAGGTCTGGCTGATGATGTTCCTACATGCATATTTGTATGTGCTATAAAATAGCCATATACATTTGCGGTATAGTAAATTTTTATTTTTACTTGTCTTCTCTCACATGAACTTGGACAGCCCAAGATAAGTGGATGGCAGAGTTTCCAGATGGCCTGCCTTACACAAACCCAGGACTCTTTACTCTTGGCACTGTCTTCAGATTCTGTCTCTTCTGCTACCTGACCCCCTCCATCACCCCAACTCAATTTATTTGTAAAGTCAGTCAATATGAAAACAGCTCAGGATGACATGGGGGTATCATGTTGTGGGCAAAGACTCCTTTCCTTTGCCAATGTGCAACCAGATCCATCCCACCAAAGGGAAAGGATGAAAAGGCAAGTGATTTGAGAAACAGGACAGACAACATCCCCCCAGTTCTCAAGGCCCATGATGGCAAACACACACCTGCAGCAGTGGGAGAGTTGACTACTACCAGCCCACAGTCTTGGGCCCTACACCCAGCCCCACCTCTTTAAAAAGTCATTCATTCCAAGGGTTTTCCTGGCAATAGGTGGCAGCTACATGTCACCTTTCCCCACTGACCAAAATGAAGTCCAAGAGGTAAAACAAGACATCCTGAAATCCTTCCATGAATATTTAGTAGTCCCTTGTTAAAAGGAAAGTTCTGGTGGCATAGTGCCTAAGGCATTTGACTGCTAGCTAACCAGAAGGTTAGCAGTACAAACCCACCAGCCACTCTGCAGCAGTAAGACTGGACAATCTATTTCTGTAAAGATTTACCACCTCAGAAACCCAAAGGTGGTTGCTATAAATCAGAATCAACTTGATGGCAGTGAGTTTGATTTTATTTATATATATATGCACTTAACTGCTAACCAGAAGGCTGGCAGTTCAAACCCACCAGCCACTCCTCGGAAGGAAGATGGGGCAATCTACTTCCATGTGATACCACCTTGGAAACACAAGGAGGGGTCGCTATGAGTAGGGTCCAACTCAATGGCACATAACAGCAGTGTGTGTGTGTGTGTGTGTGTGTATTATGTGCCCTCGAGTCGTTGTGGTATGTTGTGCTTTCATTCTTGATTGATTCAAGGAAAATAAAATATATATATATATAA